CAGACACACACACGCATCAATTGAAGCGGACTCACTTTTCCATACAATCATTTTACTTGCTATTCATATAATCGTCAATTATTTATTCCATTACTTTATTTGTACATAGTTTTATTTTATTACTACTATGATTCATTCTCCTTTTTTTCATTAAGTTTTGTTTGTAAACTTTCAAATCCAAAATTGACTTTTTGACTATATTGTCATTGAAATTAAAATACACACACACATGCACACACACACTCACACGTTTTCGGCATTATTCAACTTGTAGTTGAATAATGCCGAAAACTCAGTGATCTGTATAAATAATTGTATTTATGATAGTCTAAATCCAATATATATATATATATATATATATATATATATATATATATATATATATATATATATATATATATATATATACACACACACATATATATATATATATATATACATACACACACATATGTACATACAAGTATGCAAGTGCTTATTGGTGTTGTACCGTCTGTGATGTGTACATATATGAATATTTGTAGATATACAAGCAAACATTTGTTCTTCTATTTCTCTCTCCCCTTTTTCTCTCTATTTGTGTGTGTATATGTGTGTGTGATTGTGTGTGTGTGTGAGAGAGAGAGAGAGAGAGAGAAATTAAACATGATGAACATATAAAGTAAGTTATCTCTACTTTTTCTAGCCATCATATTCTATATTGTTCAATAGGCATACTTATACTAATACATTTTATATATTGTATATAATCTCTCTCTCTCTCCCTCTTTTTCTCTCTCTCCCTATATATATATATATATAGAGAGAGAGAGAGAGAGAGAGAGGGATAGGGAGAGAAAGAGATAGAGAAATAGAGAGAGAGAGAGAGAACTATTATATAAATAGGGGTAGTATTTACATATTGTATATCCATATAACAAATTAATGTATTTCATATACAATCTTTTGAAGATGCAGATTTTTTAAAATCGGTATATAATTTTCGTCTTTTTCTCAATTGTATATCTATAATTGTTTTTTTTTATTCACGAATGATTAAAATGGATTGTTGTTTATCCATATTGTTTATTTTATTCATGGATTTTAAAATTGTAATTAAATTAAAGTATAGTAGCGTTGAATCAATTCAATTTTTATTGGTTTCTTGAAAATGAGATTCAATTATCGTTTGTTAGCGTTGTTGTTTTGTTGTTGGTGGTGGTTTGTTATTGTTATTGTTGGTTTGTTGTTGTTGTCGGTTTGTTATTGTTGTTAGTTTGCTACTGTTGTTGCTTTGTTATTGTTGTTGTTGGTTTGTTATTGTTGTTATTGTTGGTTTGTTGTTGTTGGCAATAAGTATTTTAAAAAAATTTGTTAATAGTTGTGATGTGATTTATGTCAATGTTGAATGTTGTTGCTTGAGCGGCGATGTTGTTGTTCATGCTGTTGTTGTTAATGTTGTTGCTTTCAATTTTGTTATTAAATACTGTTTATGTTGTTAATGTTATTACTAATTGTTACCTTTCTACTTTATTGCAGTAGCGGATGTAAATCTGTTGTTCGCTGCTGATGTTGTTATTAACGTCGTTGTAGTTTTTTTTGTCGTTGTTTGTCACATAGGAATAATATCGATTATTCAATCCATTCAAAATAGAGCTGCCAAAGTTGTCGTTGGAGGCTCAAAGTTTAATCGTGTCACTCAAACATTGAATTGTCTGCACCTTGTTAAACGTTGAAAAACGAATAATTTTTAAAATTCGTTTCCTGATGTTCAAAGCCATAAACGGACCTTTGCCTAGATTAGTTGGACATGTTTGACAAAAAAAAAATGAACAGTTTCTAGAGGCATCAACTTAAGAAGTTCTTGAGAATGCCTGGATTGTCCATCGCCTGGACTGTCCGCCGATACCTTCAAGAAAAATTTAAAGACACCTTTACGCTCTATGAGATTATACAATTCTTTGTGTTTGTCATTTTTTTTCGTTCATGGATTAACTGAGTGCGTTCATGGATTAACTGAGTGCGTTTAACTGAGAAATTTTTTAATTAACGCTTTATAAATTTATCGTAATAATAATTGTAATACATACTATATATATATATATATATATACATGTGTGTGTGTGTGTGTGTGTGTGTGTGCGTTCTTGTAATGTGTGTGTGTGTATTTATTTAGATCATTAAATCACAACAGCCAAATAATTGCATTGCAGTGTTTAATAAAAATAACAAAACAACAAAGGACATTACGTCACTACAACAAATGTAAGATCAAATGTTGCGAGTTGATAAATTTTTCTAAAATTCTGAAGATCAAATAAAGTGTTTCGCAAAATATAATAATTATAATATTAATACAACCGTAATAGACACACACACACTATCACACATACACACACATCACACAAAAACACGCACACTAATACCACTTTTACGCAGTTGGTTCAACAAATTAACCATGCCATCTATCCATCTAATTATTTATTTGTTTGTTTATTTATTGAAACTAGGTTCCTCAAGTATATTATTCTTTATTTCAATAAATTAATTAATTAGTTAATCAATAAAATAAGTAATAGAAGACAAGGAGTGATCAGGGCAAGAAAAGTAAGTAATCAGTAGGTCTGAGTGAGGTTCCGAACGAGCCACCTAGAAAGTAGCAACTCATCATCGTCGTCCTCTCCTCTGGCGTCCATCTCCCGAAGTACCCTCTCCAGATCACTCAGCCAGTACCTCAGTCCTGACAGCTTCCTCGAGACACTGCCAACGTAGGGGAGGTACCTCCTGTTGAATTTTTCATCCGATGATTCGTCGATCAGGATGTCGCTTATTAAACCTTTGTCAATTTGAAGTTGGACGTGTACAGGGGAGATGATGCCGGGGTAAGCAAAGTGCCTGTCTATTGAGAACTTCGGCGTGTGGCCATAGATCCAGCCCCACTGCTTCAGCTCATCGTGCATTTGAATGATGGATGGATAGGCTGAGTTGTCTGTTGGATCCACTAAGATGTTTTTTGTCTGTTTGGTGTGTGTGAACATGTCTGAGATTGTGTGTGTGTGTGTGTAAGTGTAGATGTCTGTGAATGTATGTGTGTGTGTGTGTGCACATGTCTTCGAGCGTGTGTGTACATTATATGATGCTTGTACATGTTTTGTTTGTGAGATGGCATTAGCGTGAACGCATGAAAAAATTACAAAGCATGAAAACAAATTGCTGTAAAAGTGAACGAACATCAGCATCAACGTATGTATAAGCCTTGACAAAGGAGTCAATGAGGGCTTCAGGGGTCAAGGTAGGTCGAAGGTCACAGAGGTTCAAGACTGGAGATGGTATGCTCGTGGTTGCTCTACTGGTCAAACCTTCCTACGTTGTTGTTTAGTTGTTAGCATGTTGTTGTGTTGGTGTATTGTTGTTAGGAACGACGACATACGTGCATGCAAATAATTCGCCCTCCAGACTAAACAGACCTTGTCCTTGTTTAGTAGCTTGTCGACATTGTGGAGGTCCGCATCGACGAGGAGTGTGAAGTGGTGGTAAGCAATGTCACTGCCCAGTTTCGCGGCTGTTCCTGATATCTGCATCGGGGTGAGTGAACAAATAAAATATTGTAAATGGTTGAATAAATCATTCATGTAAAATTATTTCAGTTAACTGACTAAGAAAAATCAACCTAAATTAAATCATATTAAAAAAAAAAGTTGGGTTTGTTTAATAAGAAACATTGAAAATTTAAGCAAAATACATTGCTAATGATAAAATAGATGCAGGATTTTATCATATAGAAAATAGCATATAAAAGTTAAAAACTCCAATGTTAGATTTAAAAACGAACCATGCCTTAAACGTATCATTAACAATCAGATCGTCACGAGAGTTGATGACCACGTCCAACTTCCACTCTCTCCTCAAGTGGCTAGCAACAAAATTCAAGTTCCTTTTCCTGTTGTAGAAACCTCTCGTCGTGAAGAATGTCAAGTTGAGGTTACCGAGGTCATGGTAGACTGTCCCACCCCCACTTCGTCTCCTAGCAACATCCACATTGTGTTGAACGGCTTTTCTGACATTTACTTCTGCCCAGGCATTTTGATGTCTGCCAATAACGATGCATTTGTCATTCCTCCACAACATGAAGAGCTCCGGTTTCACACGAGATAACTTGCTCTCTACAAACTTCACATTTTTGTAGATCCAATCTTCCAGTGCTAGATTGCTGAAGACGTTTTTGCAGGCTGACACAATGACTTGCGGGTGTTGGATGATAGTAGGCAGCTGGAAGTACTTCATCTTTTTCTGCCTCCTTAGAAGTTTTAATAATAATGACAATTTTATAATAATAAATATTAAATAATAATAAAATAAAGACATGCATTAGAATTAACAAATCAAATTGATTCCATTACTTATACCTTGTACCATATTTATATTTTATTCATTTTATAAGATTAGATTAGAATATTACTATATTTTTATAATTTATATTAGACAGAGGCTCCTCCAGACGATCTCAAGACGTTTGCAATATTTTATAATGGACCAATCATCTCGGGACCAAACGTCTGTAGACCCTCCAGACTATCGTTATTGTCATTGCGATTTTTTTTAGCGAAACAATGTTTTTTAAACCATAATTTTTGAAAAAAAATATTAAAGTCACTACTTTACCTTTCAAGTGCGACTGCTCCACCGTCTAAAAATGAAATTCAGTAAACTTACAACAGGCAACTCGAACCTCGCCTTTCGACATTTAGTGCCATTTACGAACTAAACGTGAACTTACAGACGTAACTATGAAATGTGCCTAAAAGGCTGAATGGCTGTTTAAAAAGATGACAATTCATCAAATACACTTGAAAAATTTGTTTCTTGCGTAGTGAAGATTTCTGGTTAGTTCTGAATGTTTCTGGTTGGTTGGTTTGCCAATTTTGAAATATAGTTCACAACTGTCAGTGACTGATTGATGATGATTTATATATGGATATATATATGGATTTATATGAAATTCCATCAACTTATTTATTCAAAACTATAAAATTTACAAACTAGAATTTAATTTAGAAAATTTTATTCAAAAACTTTTTCATCATTAGAAAAATTAAATAAATTTAACAGCACAAAATTAACTAAATTTGTAACGGTAACAAAATCAAACAAACATTCAAGTACTAAAAGGAATTCTGATTTCTAACAGCGTTCAGATTTCAATATAGATTAGGAATTTTTACATTTTTCCATACGGCAAAAATAAGAAAGAAAATCAGCCAAACGGTGACTAAACCTTCGTCTAGCTTTTATTCAAATTAACTGCTGTGTTAAGTACACTTGAAAGGAAATGAATAAATTACAACGAAATTTAATTAATTATGATACAAATGAACAAAAATTAAATTGAATTATTTATAATTAAATTCAACTTAAAATAGCGAACAATCTATCAAAATTAAACCAACCAAATATGTAAAAAGAGAAATATTCTTTTTGTTTATAAGGCCAGCACCACTGGTATTCTGATCATCTTCTTGCAATGTTGCGAAAAAATATTTGAAATAAACACACTATAATAATAATAATTATATTAATAATAATTATTATTATTACATAATAATAATAATTATATTAATAATAATAATTAATATTATTATTTTATGAATAGAAACGAAATGTAGTAATCGAAAAGCAAGCAATCTACAGTGACGAATTATTTGCAACAGTCCATTTTAATGTAGATCATAGAAAAATTATTTTACAATATTAATCAATACGTCACCAATTTTATTATTATTATTATTAGATTTAAATTTATTTAATATAGCTATTATTTATCATTTATATTATCATCATATATTACCACCATTACGACAAGAGAATATTTACAGGACAACGTTAAGAATGGCCATGCATGATGACGAGATTGATGAGAAAATGATGATGGATGATGATGAAAAGATGATGGTGAGTGATGAGGATGATGAAAAAATTATGGTGAAGATGAAGATGATGGAAAAATTATGATGAAAGATGAAGGTGATGGAAAAATGAAGAAAAAGATGATAGAAAAATTATGATGGAAGATGGGGATGAAGATGGTGGCAAAATGATAAATGATGAAGAATAATTATTTATTTATTAGAAGGGAGTTAATTAAACCTGGAAAAAGTATTTATATCTGCAGCTGTAATGATGACAAAGCAGGGTAGAAAAATATATACCTGGAGACAAACAAAAAATCTAAATGAAAAAAGTTTTTTGGTGGTTGAGCAAGAGAATATTGACGACTGAAGTAGGGTGAAAACCCTGGTGATGATGAAAGAGTTACGATGACGATAGCAGTGATGATAATGATGTCGATGATGGTGATAGTTGTGATGATAATGATGACGATGATGAGTTGTGATGACGATATGGCTGCGTGTATGTTTTAACGTTTCATCTGTACGTGTTGCGTATGTATCTCTGTGTGTGTGTGTGTGTGTGTGTGTGTTTGTGACGATGATGATAGTAGTGATGATAATGATGACGATGATGATTATAGTTGTAATGATAATGATGATGACGACGATTATGACGTTCAAGGCATAGTGAACCGACAAACATATGCATGACGAGTATTTAGATTTCTTTTTAATAATAATAGTAATAATAAAGGTAATAATAATAAAAATAATAAGGCAAAAGTAAAATTACGTCACATTTTGAATACTAAGGTGGGGCGTTAGGGGAGGGGTATTGGGGGTGGGGTTTCGACTTCCGCCCGTACTGGCTAGGGCCGCGTCATGAAAATTCAACATCACATAATGTATGCAGATTAAACCGGGACATATAAACATATTTTTTGTAGAAAATTTCCGACAAAAAAACTTGAATACATATATTGCGACAAAATAATAAAAACGTGTAGACTAAAATAATACACAGAATAAATAAAGGTAACAAAGAATATAGCTTTTAAAAAATTAAAGGACTAATAATGGAGTAAAATTTGATAATTTGAAAAAAATTGAAAATGTGAATTTTTTTCTTCTGTTAAAAATATAAACGATGAAAACTCCCCGATCCATCACGCCGTCTCTACGCTATTATCACTAATAATATATTAGTATCATTGATACATTACTATCATTGATACATTAGTATCATTGATACATTAGTATCATTGATACATTAGTATCATTGATATTATCATATGTAGAAAACATGACGTTTATATATGAATATATAGTTTATACTCGCCAATGACTCTAGACTATATATTATATATCATATTATATATTTATATATATATATGTGTGCGTTGTGTATGTGTGAGGTTGTGTACAGTTAGTGTACGTGGTTTAAATGTTGCGGATGAGTGTGTGTGTGTGTTTAGATGTTTGCGTGTGTTTGTGTGTAAAAAATTTTTTTTTATTAATCTAACGTTTAATGATACCAAAGAAAATTGAATGATTAATGTTAATTGAGTTTAATCACTTAGACATGGAATAAATAACATAAGATACGGAGTAATAAAGTTATAAGTGATCAATTTTTGTTTTGCTTTCAGAGACCCGGTTTCCCGAGGTAGGTCGTCGTTTTCATCAACTTTGCCTGACACGCGAAAAAGAAATAATAACGCTAAAAATAAGATAATTTTTTTTGTTTTTTAACTCCAAATATATTTTGAAGTTATTTTTTCAAATTTTTTGTATTTTTTACATCATTTTTTTTTCATATTATTGAATTTCTTTTTAAATTATGGAAAACATCAAAATGTGCATAGGTGCCTGCATGTGTATGTTTGTTTGTACAGTTTGTATATTTGTATGTTTGTAGGTTTATTTGACATAATATGAGATAACATTTAAGATACGTATATCAATAAAATGAAATCAGTAACAATATTATGTTTAGAAGTCACAGTCACCATAGACATGAAATAAATAACATAAAATACGAAATGATAAAGTTATAAATAAATAACAGTATAAGATAATTTAAAAAAAAAACTATATTTTTTTAGTTTTTTTTTTGTAATTTTGTCAATTTTTTTAATTTATGAAAAACTGTTCATAGTTGTGCACCTATATGTGTGTGTGTGTGTGAGTGTGTGTGTGTGTGTGTGTATGACAGAATATAAAAAGAAATCCTTATATGAAATTTTACACATAACCCTAAAACAATATGAAATCCAAACGTTAAACTTGATCAAAAACCAGTGAAAAAAAAGTTAATTTGAAAATGTTTTATAAATGTATCATATCAAATGATAGATATCATTGTACATTATGAACTGGTATGTATGGAATGATACCAGCAAGCCTAAGCTCCAACGACAAACCAACCGACAAACATATTAATTAATCACTTAAACTATCATTTTGCTGTTGTTCTTGGCTGTTGTTGCAGGTGACAGCGCTGTTGAAGTAGTTATCCACATTAATTTCACGTCCTCCTTGTTCATCTTCGACCAGCAAACAGGTGTTGTTGATGTTGTTGATGTTGTTGTTGATGTTGTTGTTGATGATGGCGTTGTTGATGATGTTGATGTGGCTAATGATGTCATTGACGATTTTGCTGAAGTTGTTGTTGCTGATGACGACGTTGTTGATTTCGATGATTTTGTTGATGTTGTTGGCGATGTTGTCGATGTTGTTGCTGTAGTTGGTGGTTATGTCTTTGATGACGTCGATGATGTTGTTGATGGTGTTTCTGATGATGATGATGACGTTGTTGTTGATGATGATGTTGTTGTTGTTGTACCAGGTGTTGCCGTTGATGTTGCTACTTATAGTTGCGTCAACAATGTTATTATTGACTGCCGCCAACAAGCTGTTGATGATGTTGATCAAACTGGTCAAATTGACATCTATGGACATCCGGTCAGCCGTCAGCTTGATAAGGACCCCCTGAAGGTTATTCACAATGCTCATGAACTCCATCTGGTTGATAACGTTGTTATTGTTGATGACGTTAGCGTTGGTGTCATTGCTCTGTCTAAAGATCCAATTGTCATACCTCCATGTAGATCCTGAGGTTGATTTTGGTTAGTTAGTAATACAATTCACCGGCAGTAGATAGCATAATAACATTCATAATTGTTTTTTCTTTAGCATGTCTGTTATCAATGTGAGGCTTAAACATATTGAAACTTACACAACGTTTGCAACAGCTGTATATGAAATAAATAGCAAGGCTGCTATAAAGACGCATTTTAGATATTGAATTATCAATAAATTTACATAACAAAATTATTCCAATTACTCTCTACACAGAAAGTTAAAAAGTACCCACCGGGTTGCTGGGAGTCCATAGCTGGTGGCATCTGTTCAGCTGATGACGTTACTATTGGTTCCTGTTGTTGGGAAGGAATGTTCTGACTTGCAGCTGCTGCTGCTGCTGCATTCAACAAGAGTGCTTCAGATAATGAGACTTCGGTGGATAGTTCTGGCACAGCACCACCACACAGGTCAGCACCATCAGCTGCACAGGATGTGACATCGTCCACCACGTTAGCGCAAATCCTTGAGGAGGAGGAAGTGACGGCATGGAGTTGGTGCTGCATGGCACCAAGTTGGTGATGCATGGCAGCTGCCTCATAGAAACTGGGCAGGGGTGTTGCACAGCGTGCCTCACAAACGTTCTCCATAATCTTCACCAGTTCTTCCTCTGTCTCGCCGCTATTGTAGCTTTCCTCGTCCTTAAGAATTCCATCAATATTATGTATGATGCTTGAATCACTGACCTCTGCCAATATACTGGTCAATAAATCACTACATCCATTGGCATCATTATTCCTTACGGTATTAAATCTGTTTGAAATCTGCAGTCCGGCGTTGAATACACTGGAGCCAGGTTCGACTGCAGCGGCTGATTCAGACGCTGGCGACGTGCATTGATGATCGATTGTCGGTGTTGATGTGGCTGGAATTGGAAAAGAATACCGAAAGAACCTGAATAGTCCAGAAGGGTTAATAAATGTAGGGAGAAATTTCGATGTATCATTTCCAGATCTAAGACACATTGGATAGATTGCTTTAGGCTGCAAAATGCTCTTTGATGGTAAAGTTTTGGGAGAGTGGTTGTTGTTGGTAGTTTGTTGATTATAAGCATAATTTTCCAAACCCTTAAAATAATTAATTTGGTTATTATCATCCCCTTTCTGTGCATTAACATCCGCAAAATCATTGATAACACCATTGCTTGCACAGCCCTGCAGATTGTCACCATCCTCATCTTTATGGTGATTGTTATCGTGATTATCATTATCCTCTTCGTCTTCCTTATCAACAAACCAGTTCAACTGCTCAGGCGACTCAAACGCTGGCGACCTGCATGGCAAATCGAATGTCGGTGTCAGTGTACCCAGAATTGGAGCGTTTGGAGGGTTAACATAAGTAAATTTCGATGCATCATTTTCAGATCTAGGATTCAGACCGATTACATTAGGCTGTAAGATGTTCCTTGGTAGTGAAGCGGATTTGCGAAAGTGGCTGTTGTTGTTAGTATTTTGTTGACCAAAACCATAATTTCCCAAAGCCCTAAAATCATTATTTTTGTTATTATCATTCCCTTTCCATAAATTGAAATTCATTACATCATTGATAACATCTCTACTTACAGGGTCCTCAAGATTGCCAACATTCTCATCACCATTAACATTATCCTCTTCGTATTCTTTTTTATTTTTTTCACTCTCACCAACATCATAATTTTCATTGCGCTGGCAACTAAGTGCAGCACCTTCACCAGCGACATCATCAGCCAACAGAACATAGTTGCTCTTTGAGGTGTCACACTGCTTGAAGTTGCCAATTCCATCAGCAATAGTCGGTGTAGTAGCCTCAACGGCGACAGAATCTACACCACCATTTTTATCCTTGTTCTTACTTCCCTCTTCATTATTTCTTTCAAGCCATGAGTTCCACAACGCGGCAGCGCTTGGCATTTGATCATCGCGTCCAGGATAGCCAAGATCTGCACCGACCTGGTCGAAGCTCACTTCACCATCTCGTTCCCTACCTCCCCCAGGCAGTACCTTGTTGTCCACTTCCTTCCAGATTCTTTTATCAATAGCAAATAACGGCTGGCACATCGAAACGATTGAAAATAACTGATAGTTGAAAGGGCTCTCTTCAATTATTTTATCTTTGCTGCAATCCTTGGTCAGCTGGATAAGAGAATGTATGTCACTTCCATCATCTTCATTATCGTCGGGCAATCGATTTGTCGCCCCACTGCTAGGAGGATGAAACTGTGTAGCCGGCTGCCTCGGTTTTGGCGGGGTTGGTTTGTTAATGGGATACCTGGCATGTCTCCTTCTCTTTCTTCTCTTCTTGAATGGCCTGCTGTTGTTTACATACAAAATATTATTGATGCATTCTTAAGACAATGTTTATGTTCTTATTGTGTGTTTTATTTAGCTGTACCAGCAATTCGGCAAAGAGATCAATAAAATGTAAAGTGTCGTTCAAAGAAAAGATTTGTAAAATTAACTAAACCAAACACTCACTGTGAACACGCGTGTCCACTTGTTGTGCTGTTCTGTGTGCTTCTTTGGTGATGAATGAAAGAGTAAAAAATCATTATAGAAATATTTATTTATTTGTTATAATTCATGAATTTGTTTACTAGCAACTATAACTGTAATGAAAGAGTTAATATAACTTTAATAGATGTAATGTAATTGTAATGATTGATGTAATAACTAAGAACCTCATGACGATATACTGCTTTCCTCCCACTGTCATCTCCCCGACATAAGCACACCTAAGTTGAAAAATTACAATAAATATAAAATACACCAAAAAAATTATAATAAATATAAAATACACCAACAATAACCGCAAAAAGAAATGCCATAAACAAAATTTAAAAAATTTAAACGGTACTCATAAAGGAGTACACAAAAACAGATAAACAAACACATAACATTCAAGAACTCACTTGAGAGAATCAGGATTCAATTTCTGACGATGATTAGCAGCTGTCTCGTTCGTTCCTTGTGCATTGGCAACTGAATTAGTGACGTCCTGCGTTGAAGACGTTGTGGCTGCAGCCCAGTTTAAAGCAGCGCCGACTTGGCTGACTGTTGCTAACAGGTCACATGTACTACTTAAGGAGGGAAAGGCTTCTTCATATCTATTGGGAATTAGTTTTAGTTCTTGTCGATGCCTGTTGATGTTGTTGTTGTTGTTGATTTTAGGTGTCGTTGTGATGGTACTGGTGTAAGATGCAGAGTAGAGAATTTACAGTGACTGATTTCATGTTTTTGTGCAGTTGGAACTATTACTAATGTATACTACCGCGTCATGTGGATGAGTTGATGATTTCAGGTGGATTTTATGGGCTCATTGTGTATAGATTAGCGTAGAAGATCACAAACATTTACGAATATATATTGTTGAATGAGCATTGTTGGCAAAGATTCAAATTTAGTCAAAAGCACACTCTTAGATATCATTGAAAATTATTAAAATGCAATTAAGCAATTAAAGCAATTAAATAAATAGGACCTCTCATGTGGTTGATTGGACTGTCTGTGCTTCCTGCTGCCAACTCTTCTTTTCTTCTTCAATTCAACTGTAGATAAATGCAAATAGTGTGTGTGCATGTGTGTGTATATGTGTCTGTGTGTGTGTTTGTGTGTGCGTGTGCGCGCATGTAAAATAACCCTATAAAATCAATCATCGTTTATTGTCCAGAGACCCAGTTCTCCCGAGGTAGGACGTTGTTTTCTTTGCCAACAATTTTTTCCACAAAATTAGGCGATCAGTTGTATCCATTTCATTTACGACGCAGGATTTCGGTATACTTCCCATGGATTCTTAGCACCCCTTAAGGCCTGCTGGAGACTAGGGGCCGTTGTTTTTGGCATGGGATAAATTTTGGGGAAAATTTTTTTCAAAAACACGCAAGGCAGCGTGGATGCAGTTTTATGTCATGCCCAGGACTATGTGAATCTCTATGAGGGATATAATAAATTTTATAGTGAAATACATGAGCACAAATAAAATACAATACAATACAATAAAAAAACAATACAATACAATACAATGCAACACAACACAACACAATACAATACAACCTCCAATGGTTATTTTTGAATGGTTATAAATGTTCTTCTCATTATAGCATTTAGTGATAATAATATAATGTAAAAATGTATTAAACCCTTCACAATTTGTAATGCTAAAACTTCATCCATAATTAAAAACAAAGATTTAGTGAAGAAGAAAATTCAAAATAAATGATAAGATATAATGATGATTGCATCAGGTATGAATAATAAAAAAAAGATGATTGTATAATATCTATGTTATTTATATGCAGATCAAAACATCAGCACAGATTACATGACAAACCAATAATGGTACCAGATAGATCATAAATCATTAAATGAGCCAGTGTAAAATTAAGTCACAGGTTCTCAACATCTCAACAGAGCATCATGAGTATAGCTTGCTATCTCCTCTCAATTTCACAACATTTACAAGCATGTTCATTAGAAAAGTATTTAAATGTTTAATTTTTACATTTTAAAAATATTTTATCATCCTAATTACCTTAAACCAAATTAGATATTAAACAAAGTTAAAACAAAATCAAACAAAATTAAACAGTATTAAACAAAATTAATTAATATTTAGCAGTGTTAAACAAAATTAAATAAAATATTTCAATAAGAAATAAAAACAAACTTCTAGCTTCATAGAACTTCTCCAAAAACTCTGTGATGATCTTCTTAAAACTTTCGTTATCCTGGTTGGGTTGATTAGATAGATGGCATTAATGTTTATGTTAGAACACATTAACATTTGAGAATTATCAATCAATCAATCAATCAATTAATAAAAAATAATAAAAAAAAATGATAAGATATAATGATGATTATAACATTTGAGAATTATCAATCAACCAATCAATCAATTAATAAAAAATAATAAAAAAAAATGATAAGATATAATGATGATTATAACATGAGAATTAGATTGGAAGAGAGCACAAGCAAAACAACATTTCGAGGTATGACATTCAATTAGTTCACTGGTGTTTATATTGCAACATTGCATTACATTATGGTAACATTATGATATCTTAAATTCAATCATATTGGTAGTCTCTGATGATGTTGATAGCAATGTTGAAATGTTAATGAAATATCTGGTGAATATCTATCAAGATATGTGCTATGATTATCTACAGCAATGTATAATTACAACATGACACATAATTACACTAATCTTCAATTGGATATTTTTCATTGCCCATCTTATGTTTTTTGCAATAAACCAAAAAAAATGTGTATCATGAGCAGGCATTTAGCAGGCATAATGACACACTAACATTTTGAACCAGGTAACACACAATGAACAAATATTCTTCTCAATTGAATAAAACAATAGCAAAAAACACATATTCTTCTCAATTGAATAAAACAAAAGCAAAAAACACAAAAGATCAAATCAATACTGTGAAAGATGAACCAAACAAAAATAAGTTTTGAAAAATTTAATTTAATTTGAAAAAGAATTTAACCAACCGACAGTCCAGTTTTATCATTGAAGTGTTTGAGGAGGTACGTTTTCCTTAGGTACCATTCATCGGAGATGTCTGCATCGTCATCTCCACGCGTATAACCAACAACACTGCTACCGACATTCTTATTACTTATGTAATTATCCACATGGTGGCGAAAGCTCTCCACGTTGTGGCCAATAAGGCATAGTTCATCAATCAAGTTGATGATGTCAAGTCGCAAGGAGGAGATGATGTCTCTTGAAAATACGCGACCATCCAGACCGATCGAGTACAACTCTCCCACCAGCCACGATTCCAACGTGTGTAACTGTTCATTCGTTATGCCACACTTGGCAAGCTGGTCTTTGTAGAAATAAAATGATGACTTCGACATTCTAATGCCTTATTTATGAAAGAGAGAGTAAGTGGTATGAGAAGAATGAATAGTTAGGAGGAATAATTTGAGTTTGAAGATTTTCAATATCTAATGAGAATAATGCAATAAATAAATAAAAATTAGGTAAAAGTGTGGTTGGCCACGATAGGCCGATGACTTTTGTTTGAACTGCAGTCTATAGCATCACATACTGGTAGGGAAAAATAAAAAATTAGATTAATTCAAATTTAAATGTATACATAACTTGTTATATAACACCAATAGAAAAATCTTATAAAATATATTTTAAGATAAACAATAACATTAAATTTAAGATTTGATAAAAACATGAGCATTTCTTAACGCTACTATTATTACTGTTATTAAAATTTTAAAAGACTGGATAACAATAACCTCCAAACAAACTATGGTGAAAGCAGAACTCGACATAAACAAATGCACATCAAAAATAGCATTTAGTCAATTTAAACTAATAATAAAAATCAAAAATAGTCTGAATGTATATTTTTAAATAAAAATAACACAAAACAATGCTAGATAACAGCATTAACTGGTGAAGTCAATAGATATGCCCCTTCAAGTTCACAATTGTAGGGCCACCCAAGTTACAAAAGATAAATTTGCATAAATATAGAAATGGCAAAGTATTATGGTAAATAAGTATGAAACCACGCTTCCTGTTGTTTACATAGGATAATATTGAAAACTTTAAATTTGGCTCCGCCCGTCATTAATATTCATGACCAACCGATGCGCTTCATTTTATTGTAATTTTATTGTAAATTATTTAACAAATATATTATTTTATATTTTAAAATGTTTATTAATAATTTAGATGCCAAATAAAATAAGGTCATATATATAAATTAAATATAAATAAAATATATTAAAATATAATATAAAAAAAATTTAATTAAATTTAAATGTAATAGTTAAGCTGTGTAATCTTTTACATGAGCTTCAATAAAAATTGTTTTTTCCATTGTTTATAAAAAATTTAATTTCTTTAAGAATGATGATGCGAATTGTTTTAAATTCAAACAGATGACGTATTTCTGGTCTATGTACGACGTTAGCCAGGCTATGGTTGCGTCGATTTTAGATTTGGACGTCGGGCATTACATTACCTGACTGGTTAAATTTACATCGAAATCTATGCATTGACTGGGCTCATGATAACCCTGCACGAATAGGAATGTATACAAATGGAGTGGAGAATTTGTGGCGATGCGTCAAACAAAAATTTAAGAGAATGAATGGTACTTGTGATGCTCACGTACAATCATACCTAGACGAATTTATGTGGATGCGCACCAAAGGAGAAAGAAAAAAGCAGTTCCAAAAAGCCCTGGAACTTATACGACATTATTAAAATTTTGAAACTTTTTGGTATTTTTTTATTAACTAACGATAATTATTAGACGATACTTGTTTTGTTATTTATATGAAAATATAATGTCCAAATTAAATTACATATAGTTCTCATGTTTATAACATATTTTAAAAATAATAAATAAATAATGATATTAGAATTTTTGTTAAAAATTACAAATATAAATAAATGAAACGATTCGGTTAAAAAAAATCACAAATTGAAAAAAAATAAAACGCTTCGGCTGGTCATGAATATTAATGACAGGCGGAGCCAAATTTAAAGTTTTCAATATTATTCTATGTAAACAGGAAGCTGGTTTCATACTTATTTACCAAGTATTATATTATATGTTGGCACATATCAGTGCATACTTGCCGGTATATTTATATTTTTTTATTGTATATATTAAATTTATCAGTTATTATTTATCTAGTTAAAAACATTATTTCACTATTGAATTTTAAAAAATTAGCTTGGTAAAAAATTTACTAAAATTTGACAAACCACCATTATAAATGACAAAATATAACAAAATTTCCCTTGAGTGAATTAATCAATTAATCTACCTTTTAATATACAAGCTTAGAAGGTATTTAAATAAAAAATTACAACAAATTTGACTTAAAAAAATTTTAACCATGAGTTTAATAAAAAATATAAAAAATTTTAATAAAAATCAAAATTATATATATATAAAATTAAAATTAATTTTGAGATTTCAAGTTTGAAATATAATATAATTTATAATATAATGTATCATATTTTAAATTTATAATCATAATAATTTATAGATAGATGAATAATTAATTTTTAAAAATTAAAAATGTTTTTAAAAAACCGAATTTTAAAAGTAAAAAATAAAAACCGACGTTGGAGTCTCTTTCTGCCACAATTCCAACATTTTTACGCCAAAAAAATTTAAATCCCGAAAAAAAAATTTAATTCAAGATTTAATCCAAACTTTATAACAACCACCTTCGCCGAGTTTTTTAATTTTTCTCCATTTAAAGCTCGAACTAAAAGGCATCAATCTAATCAGCTGACGACTTGTTAGGTGCCATCTCGCCACCGAACTTAATTTCGGTACATAAAAAGCAATTTATTTCGAATAGAAAAATAACTCTAAAAAATATCTACTTGAAAACGAAATTATATGAAATAAAATTCTGAGATTAAAATTAAATTAAAGATAAAAAAATCATATTATTAAAAATACAAGCATTAACTCACATTTAGTCAAACAGTTGAAAATCAGCTGACCGAATACAATTTTACGACAGAATTGTTCAATATTTATAGGAAGAGACTTAATTTATTCAGAACCATTGGTCCAAACTGACCAATCAGGTGATAGTAAACAACAAATATAAATAAATATATATATATATATATATACAGTTTGAAATTATATATATATATATATATATATATAATGCGTATGTGTGTGTGTGTGGTGTGTATGTGTATGTGTGTGTGTGTGTGTGTGAATGTATGCGAATGTAGAATGCAATTCAAATTATTTCTCAAAAAATTCCTACACTTTTTTCACTGGTAGTGGAAGAATCACTGTCTTATCGTTGGCCATTGAACAAAATTTTCCAACATCGAAAATTAAAAATTTCATTAAACAGATCGAACGACGAACGCTCCGTGCTTCCACATTTCTCCATTCGCACGTGCGCAATTATAAATTCACGTGCACAATTATAAAAACCACTTACGAATGAACTAACATAACTAAATCCTGATATTTGTTGCTGATATTTGGCAGAAAATAATATACAAACGCGAAATGAAGTCATTGTTAAAAGAATTTAATTAAGTTATCAATAATTTAAGTTAAAAGAAATAAAAAGTCATTTCTGATTCTGGCCATATACATGGTATAATAATAATAATAATAATAATAATAAAAATATATTAATAAATATCATTTATAAAGCGACTGAGTGTAGAAATTTATATGTACATACGTTTTGGATTGCATACAAATGTATGTAGATGTACAAGAGGAATTGGTGCTCATCGCCTTCGATGGGTGAAAATTTTAATTAAATTAATCTTTTGAAAATTACCACCATCATCTTTTCTGTTATCTTTCTTTTGTTATTCTTTAAAAGTAAACTCTGGCAAACGCAAGCACTGGCACTACAACGATAAAAAAAACAAAATGGCGAAAAGTTGTGAAAATTGGTAAAAAATTGTAAAAAGAGAGACGACAATCAAAGTGTTCCCAGCTACGAAAATGCTCACGCGTAGGATGAGACGAATAAAATTGGATGGGATTGAAAATGGTCAAGGGATAGATAACAAAGTGATAAAAAACGTAGCATTATAAACGTTAAACAGATAATGTTAGTAGTGAATATCGTTAAGAAACTGGTTGATTTTTAAGAGGATTGAGGAGGTCATTACAGTTTTTGCCCTCTTCGTCAAAGTTCAAAATTTTCCGAATTTTGGCTCCAGTCAACGTTGTCTAGATCCGCCATTGTTTAGAAATAAATAGAATTAATAAAATGAATATGAAATTAGTTAATTCAATGACTATTTAATAAAAATGTCATTTTATACGGAGCCATGGCAAGCGACTAAGGCACATTATTATTATTACTACAACAAAGCCACAGTGCGTATAAATAAGTGTGAGTTAACGTATCACACACTTTTGCGTGTGATAAGTAGGGATCTCATTTCATTTGAAGCTGGACACTGCTCAACCATGACAGGCACCTTAAACCGCTAGATGACGCCCACTGTATAGATAGATGATTGAGTTTTACTCGAAACTAATTGTAAAATTTACGATAATATTATTAATTTAATTAATTTATATTAATATTATTAGTTATTATCAATAATATTTAATATTATTGAGAAATAAAGTTATTTGAAGATGTGATTGGAGATTAAACTTTGGTGCCTTAAAAATGACAGGACTGCTGAACCGCATATTGATTTTATTTTTTTTTTACACACCACATTCGTACACACATACTTAAGTAAATAGAAACATACACAGACACACTCACGCACACAAACACACACACACATATAGTCACACAAAGACATTTACAACCACACGCATTGAGAACAATAAAACAATGAAAAATAAACAATATATATATATATATATATATATATATATATATATATACACACACACACACCTATATACATATATAAACTGGAATAACTTTGAACCTTGATATTTAAATTCGTCAGCCAAACCTTTGCCGCCAAAATTTAAACTTCGAATGTGTTTCTTCATAATGGGCGATTAACACGCGCCTGTTTTGTTATGTGTGTGTGTATTTATTTGTGTATTGTATTCGTGTATTTATTGCGTTTGTATGTGTGCGTGTGTGTTTGTCTGTGTGTGTTTGTGTGTTTGTTTACCTTTTCAAATGTTAATTATATCGATAAATATATATATCGGTTAAACACATGTTGATTGATTGGATGAAAATTGATTATTTGATTGATATGATGTTAACTGCTTGATTGATCTGATGTATATGGCTTGAGTGTTAGAACCTTTCTAGTTGATTATATGATTGAATGAATGTTGATTGATTGATTTATCGCCTGATTGAACGGTGGTTGCTTAATTGCATGATTGGTGTTTGATTGATGGATGGTTGTTTTTGTTGACTGATTGAATAAATAACGACTTTTTGATTGGTTTAATGCTGACGTGTTGTATGTTAAAGTTCAATGTTTTTTTAATGTTGATTGTTTGCTGGATTGAAAAGTGATTGCCTCATTGAGTGAACTTGGGATGTTTGATTGGTTTAATGCTGCTATACATCAATGTTTAATGTGATAGTTTGATTGTATAATAGTTGATTGTTGATTGTTGAGAGTTAAACGATAATCGTTCGACTGATCGAATGTTGATTTGGTTGGTTGATTGGCTGACTGAATGTCGATTGTCTGATTTAATACTGGATGATTGATTTAGTGCTGACATAAATATCATGACCTAAAATGAATTCGAACCTGTTGCTTTATTTGTTTGTATGCGCGTGCGTGTGTGTATGAGTATGTATGTATGTGTGTGTGTGAGTATGTATGTGTGTGTATGTATGGTGTGTGTGTGCGCGCATGTGTGTTTCTTTGCTACACAGCTGGCCAGCACAAATTAACATGTGCTGGAACTGTGTTCTGCTTGTACCGTGTTGAACTTGGCCCAGGCTGCTTTGCTGTTGCTTTTGGCGGCTGGCAATCTTCCAGACCTAATAAACTATGGAAAGCCAAGACATTTTTTAAAAATAATTGATTAATTAACATTTTTTCCAGCCAAAAATGTAATTTAATTTAAATTAATTGATATGCGTTATTATTTTTAATATTGTTATATTTTATTATACTAATTATTGCATGTGTATGATACGTGTATGTGTATGGTGCATGTATGTGTATGTTCAAAACCTCTCAATTGCTCGAAAGCAACCAGCGATACATTTTGGTCACCCACCGCTGCACACGATATTAAAAAAGCATCTAGCAAGGCCGTTTCTGTTGAATAATATTTTCTGCAAGCCGACTGATTCTGTAACAAATTATTTTTAGACAAATTGCTTATCAGCTCCTTAGAGACAATTCTTTCCATTACCTTGATTGTACATAAATGAAATGAATAGGCAGTTCTGCTTTTATTTGAACTGCATAGTAGTGTAGTGATAAATGTATAACAATATGAAAATTATCGTTGGGAATATATGACTTGAATTTCAAGATTGAGTTTTGATAAATAATAAATAAATTTTGACTATAATAAAAAAAGAAAATATGAATATCACTTAATAATAATAATCATAACAATAATGATAATAAACATTGTTAAAACCTAAAAATAAAAATATGAATGAATGGATGAATGGATGGATGGATGGATGGATAGGCCGGTTGTAAATTAAGTGTTCATTCATAACTCATTAGCATTTGTTAGACATCTAGCCAGGAGCGCTGATAACAAATGGAGTAGATATCTTCTGATAAGCGTTAACATTAACCAAAATAATTAGTTGTTGTAGAAGTAGTAGTAGTCGTAGAAGTAGTAGTAGTCGTAGTAGTAGTAGAAGTAATAGTAGTAGTAGTAGTCTTAGTAGTAGTAGTAGTAGCAGTAGTAATAGTAGTAGTAGCAGTAATAGTAGCAGTAGTAGTAGTAGTAGCAGTAATAGTAGCAGTAGTAGTAGTAGTAGCAGTAATAGTAGTAGTAGTAGTGGTAGTAGTAGTCGTAGTAGTAGTCGTATTAGTAGTAGTAGTAGTAGTAGTAATAGTAACATTAGTATCTTGTAATAGAATTGTAGTACTATTACAATTACAATTAGATGAAGGTAAAGTAGTAGTAGTAGTCGTAATAGTAGTGGTAGTGCTGGCGATAGTAATTGTAGTAGTAGAAGCAACAGTAGCAGTAGTAGTTGTGGCAGCTGTAAAAGTAATTTTAAAAGTAATTTTTATAAAATCGCGTCTGCCACTACTACTACTACTATCACTACTACTACTAATACTTCTACTAATGCTACTATTACTACTTCTACTAATACTGCTACTACTACTACTAATACTACTATGACGAAAGTTGATAACTCAATATACATAATATGAATAATCAAACTATCAATGCATTCACTTTTCTATTATCATACCGTAAGACAAGGGGGTGGGCAACCTTTTTGCTGTGAGGGCCGCATTGAGAACTGTTTTACCTTTGAAGGGCCGCATATGTACTTATATAGCAAAATTTTCAACCTGGGGGAGAATTTTTTTAAGATTTGCGACTCCTTTTTTGGTCTGGCTGGCGACCTTATTTCATAGATTGTCGTAAGTTGTAATTTTAAATAATAATAAATAAATAATAATAATTTATATAAAAAAGTGAATAATAAAAAGTAAATAATGCAAAATAATTGAATTTGCATTTAATTCATAATATTTATATCCATGATTTAAAAGCGACATGTTGGAGCCTATGGTTGCGCAACTAAGTCTCTCTACAGTTGCAGTCGCATTGCGCAACATGCAGCAGGTAGGCTTGCTGCGGTTTTGTTGATATGTTATTCTTCTGATGTTGTTTATATTTACTTTTAATTTTTTTTATTTCATTTTTGGTTTTTCCCTTGTTGTTATTACTATTTTTTTGCTCGTATTTTAATACATATAATAATAATAATGATAATTATAATTAAAATAACGAGAATTATTATTAATATGTTGTTGCTGTTATTTTTTTGTTGTTATTCTTATTTTTCTGCTC